TAAATAATAAATGAGAAAATTTAAGGAAAATTAACAAATTTCATGTTAAAAATCAGTTTAATGTTTCCTTGGATATCAATTTTTGATAAAGTAGAAATACTGAAAACTTGTGACTGCATTTCACCTTATTAAATATTTTCTTTTATTATTTTTAGAGTTTGCCGAAAACGTTTTCATATCAAAACCTGCAAAAATTTACTTAAAATGTATCAAAGATCTATTTGATAGGTAGCAACAAGTTATTGAAAATAATGGTGAATATATAATTAAATAATTGAACTATATTTTTAAAGAATAAATTTGATAAACAAAAACAAATTATTTATGATTAAATCTAATATATAATGAACTCCCATCAATTTTGATATATGATTGTCCAATGTTGAAATCAGTTCGTGTTTATGCTTGACATGAAATTTGAGTCCTGCCAAAGGCCTAAAATGATACAAGTAAAGGTTTTGTGACAAGGTAGATGGTAATAATAATGAGGATGATGATGCTACTACTTTTGTCCTTGCTCTTACTTCTCTCAAATAGTGGTGATGGCCAGTTTGAAAGTACTTGATGCTATTGAAACAACTATCTCTCTACTCCTAACGATCCAAGGTCAGCTTCTCAAAGGTCATATGAGATGTCATAGGATTGCTTTCCAATTTGTCTTTAAATCTGAGCAATGGTCTACATATATTCCTTTTTCAGCAGGAAGGTAACTATATATGAGTACATTTATTTATATCCTGGATATATTATACTGTTTGCTTTCTGATCATGAGATCCGGGTTCAAATCCCACCATGCTCAATTTGTCAGAGAAGGTGTTATCAACCTGGGAAAGCAATCCCAGCATGCAGCATCATTGGAAAATCATACACTGGATTGATCCAAGGCTTGCGAGTGAAATTGGGTGGACAGAATTGTTTGTCAATGGATATGCTAGCATAAACTCACAAGTTATTGTGACAGAGAGTGTGAGCATACTAGCCTTGTTCAAACTGAACACATTAGATGGTGTGCTCTCACCCAGAAAGTGTAACTAACATCCATTCAGCATAGTTGCAGCATAAATCACAAGTGGACTCTGGGGGTGTTGAACAAAATCAAATGTGCCTGAGTAGGCGCCTGCAACTGGGATTGGCTAATGAGTAGCAATTAATTATATATATATATATATATATATATATATATATATAGGTAACAATTTTATACATACACACACATATAATTGCTACTCATTTTAGAATATTCATATATTAGCATATACATCAAAAAGTGCAAACTCTGTATCAGATATTGTTGGCACGTTAAATTTTAGGTTGACTCCTTCCCATATTACTTCCTTACAGTTAACTTTTACTTTCTACTTCCTCTAGTTCTACAGATCTGAATTTCATTTCATATCGGGGTTGAAAAACAGATGATCACTTTTATTTTCTGGCAAAATACCCTATTCCACACATAGGGTAAAAAGAATTTTTTTGATTATTCATGATATTGCTCTGTACAAATAAAATACAGCAAGCTCTCCTTTTATGGATCAATTTAAATATTTTTATATTACTAGTATCCACTTGGATTACACACCCATGGAATTTATTTTACATTTACTATATGTCACACATTATGAAAGTCCAACAATTATTTTAAAGACATTTTTTATGTTTATATGTTCTTTTTATAGATACAAATATTTAAGTAAATGCTCTGTTTATAATAAACAGTATTAACAACATTTAATGGCCTGAATGTCTGAGAAATTTTCATAGAAAATATACATTCTCTGACTATATGACAGTTCCGTACAGGATACAGGTCCGATTCCTGTCGGAGGACGCATATTTTCTATGAAAATTTCTCGGACATTCAGGCTGGTAAATGTTGTTAATATTATTTATTATAAACAGAGCATTTACTTAAATATTTGTATCTATAAAAAGAATGTATAAACATAAAAAATATCTTAAAAAATAATTGTCAGACTTTGTCCATTTCATAATGTGTGACGTCATTCATCTACATTTGGATACACATTGATCAGATATGAATGTATGAGAGAAAATCATGGAGAACTGTGTTTAAAATCAGTAAAATTGACCTTGTTAACTGAACGATCCTCTATGGCCCAATCGGTTAAAGCACGTCAGGCTATATGACGGATCCATACAGGACACAGGTTCAATTCCTGTCGGAGGATGCATATTTCTTGGACATTCAGGCCGGTAAATGTTGTTATTACTGTTTATTATAAACAGAGCATTTACTTAAATATTTGTATTTATAAAAAGAAAATATAAACATAAAAAAATGTCTTAAAATATATATATATATATATATATAGACACACACACACATATATATATAGAGAGTGGACATAAGAATCAATGCTATATAGTGACTCTCAGTTTCACACCTGTATATGATCTTCAAGCCAAGTGTCACTATTCCTTTAATGGATTCTATATATTGGAGGATTAAAACTGGTCTGGGAGGACACTGGGATAATGCTGATGGTTATTTAGTTATATGACCTTTATACAGATTATTATATATATATATATATATATATATATATATATATATATATATATAATACATGCGCCCAAACACACAAAAGTTGGTTCTATTCAGTTACAGAAATTTCCTGGCATTTTTTTTTCCCTTTTCTTAATACTCTTCCTTAAGTGTGCATCTACTTTTTGAAGTCTTACCGGTGTAAAATATTTCTTCCAATAGACTGAAAATACTTTTGTCAAATTTGATGGAGCCCTTCCCAAAGTGAAAAGTAAATTTTATCTTGATGCCAAAAGATGGCTTTTGGTTCTTCCCAGCAGATTGGCATGCTCTTATGTTGGTAAGGAAGAGAAGAGACATAGGTGTCTGCTTTTGTGCAATAAAAATCCTTATACAATCATAGCTAGCTTGCTTCAGGAAAGCAGTGACCAATGCTGTGGGCAAAAAGCCTGCAAATTAGGCAATCAACAAAAGAAACAAATAAATGCACAAGATTTCTGGAAGCATGAATCGCTATAATTTGGAATATTTCCACATGTCCAACTAACACTTGCCATAAGTTTTAAACCACAGAGAACATAGAAGATAGCAAATGCCTTCATTGTCAATCAATAGCTAGTATATTTTAGTTTATATTTTTTTTAACTTTTTATTTTATTTTTTAAAACTTTACAATTTTTATCTTTTTCATATTTTTTAAATGTTTTTTTTATTTTTTTATATTTCAAATTTTTTCTGTTTTTTTTCTTTATCAGCAATTTTAAATAAGCTATAAAAAGATACCGAGTGAATGTGTAAGTTTCTAGAATTTAAAATAAAACTTTTTTCTACTGTGTATTTTGTTTTTGTTAAAAAAGAGGATGCTGAGAACTTTTGCACACATCTAACAAAAGCATACTCTTTGCCATTAAATTAATACTGAAAGAGTAAAAGTCCTACTTTACTATATAGTCTAGAACCTTTATATACCTGTGTTCACCTATTGAATTTTATTTTTCTGATTATTGTTTTCATTTATTTAAAAATTCCTTACACTCTTCCCAATAATATTTATACATCAGTATTCATAATTATTATATTTATATATTATTACATTTTCTTTGTATTATTATGTGCAAGTATAAATTATAATATATATAATTATATTTATCTAAATTTATACACCTGTGTTCATCCATTGAATTTCTTTATTTCTGATTATCGTTTTTTGCTTATTTTACACATTTATTTTAAAAAAAATGACACTATTCCCCATGATATTGTTTTAATTAAAGAGGAAAGTTTGAGATTTGTTTATTGTATGGGGAATAAAAAATAGTGAATATTGCAAGTTATGACAATACCGTATTTACAAAATAGAAAATTAACTAAGTGATAATGAAATAATGTGAGGCAGTGTTTAAGATTCCAAAGAACTAATAAAAATATATTTGGGAACCTGTAATTACCAAGCATAGAATGTAAAGCAAAAAACATAAAAATTTCCATGTTGTTTTGTTATGTTAAAAGTCAAACAGTGCTTCCTGATTTGTTGACTCTGATATTAATTTATATATATATATATATATATATATATATACACACACATTTTAATTTTATTTTCTGGCTGGTGATAACCATGCGGCTATTATTAACCACTTGAAAATGAATTGAAGAAGTAAAGATGGTAATTATAGGAGTGGGAGATGTGACATTATTGCTTCTTTCATGTATTTCTATAAAAAATCAGCTGATTCGCAAATATATCATTTTCTTTTTGTATCATTGTAATCTAAAATTCAATCAGAATACAACTAATAAAAAATTCAGTTTACCTAAAAATAAATAAACAGATCTACTATATTTATGTGCTATGTTCTTTCATGCCATGGGTGGCCAATGCTTTCCACAACTTCTCATCCCTTGTGGCAATTAGAAGCATTTGTCTTTTTCCCCTTCTACTCCACGTTCTGCTATCCATTCACACAAGCTCATCAGATAGGTGGCCCTGCTGCCTCCCTTGTCCTTTTTGCCCTTAATATGTCCTCCAAATCTGAAATTCCCTACTTCCTCATTGTGTGTTCAAACAATCTTCAGCTGTCCTTTTTGTTTACTGCTTCCTCAAGACTTTGTTGCTTATGCACTCCATCCACAGCATTCTCAGCAGCCTTCTTTAAAACAATATTCCAGCTGCCTCACGTCTTCTCTTCTCACGTCTTCAAATTTTACAGCATTCACTGCCATATATATGATATCATGTAGCAGTTCAGCATTTTTCTTTTCTTTCCAATGAAAACTTCCTGTTTCTTAATACTTTGCATAGCTTTTGGGATGTGTCTTTTGATATTCAAATACACATTCACATATCCATGACAAAACAGAGAGATAAGAGATCTGCGTAGAGTTATTGATTTAACAAATTAAATTATTTTTAAGTATTTGTCCATTTTACAAAATTTACTCACAGGTCACAAGTTAATTTGGTACAAATGAAGAAATGAAAATGTTACTTACCTCCCACTTTGAAACAATTCTCTTTCTGTAATGAGGTGAATTTGGAGGAACACTATATTCCTTGATTCTATTACTAACTTCCTGAAATGAAAGTAAAAAAGTTTATATTTATTTTCAGAGTTCAAATTAAATTTTAATTAAATTGTTAGAAAATTGTCTTAAGCAGCATTGGCAAAACTCTGGTATATTCATTCAACTATTGATTTTCTTTCAAACATATTTCAGTAAATAGAATAAATCAGAATTTCTTCATAAATTTTTTTGTTATATCTTTAGACAGTTATTAGGCAAACATACAAAACTTTTGAAAGAAGCAAAATTATACATATTAGTGAAACATCATAATGCCAAAATTAGGAAATGCTGTTTCAGACATGTTTTATAAACAATATTTGATAATTAAAAATAATTAAAAAGTATATAATATTAATATAAAACTTACTATGTCATTATTACGATATGCTGACAAGGAATGCAATTCAAAATTTACTTTGTTTTTTAAAGATCTACTTTCAGATATGCTGATAGACAAAGCGTTTGATTATAAAATAACCTATCTTACAATATCAAGCATCACAATTGCAATTCAATAAAGAAATTTTAGTAAATCATCCTTATGACACTTATAAATAGATTCATATGTATCAAGGGTGAAAAGCAAATTCTGAAAAGATGTTTTGAGGAAATAAGCAAAGTAATATTTACTTAGTCTGATAGACAAGTCATTTTTTGGAATTGTATTCATTCAAGATATTTGATGGACAAGACACACACATGCACACAAGTATATATAATATATACACAATGTACACACATGCACGCATACACAAAGAGGTAACAAAAGTGCTTCATGGTTGAGCTGAGAGCTTTTCAGTATCCTCTCACATTTTATATATGTAAAACACATTTCAGCATAGTGACAGTAGCTTATAAATATCTAATATACATACAAAATATTAACAATAATATATATAAATATTTGATAAATGCTTTTGCTAGTTTGATTTTGTCACTTTAATTATGTCACATGACATCATTTTGGACTGGTACAAATCCCAGGTTATAGCAAGAGAATCTTGTCTACAATACAAATGCCAGTTCTTAATAATGACAGAGATTGTTGAAAGTACTAAAGTACTTGAACAAAACAACACACATTAATTTAAACAGTTTATCCACAATTTTGATTCCAATGTACATCTTATTTGAAAGTTGGAAAAATGCACAAAAAAAAAAGAAATTAGACAGACCTTGTCAATGGATTTAACAAACCTTTTTTGTATATCACATACACACAAGCATATATATATATATATATATATATATATATATATATATATATATATATATCCCCTCATTGGTAGCGACTGCGTATTCTATGCAAGATATATCGATGATATATTCTTTTGTATACACGGGAAGTGATGACAAACTTACCCAATTCCTTATGACCCTAAACACAGTTATACATGGTACTCAATTAAGTTTGACTATGAAAAATCCACAACATCAGTAACATTTTTAGACACCCGCATTTACATAAATGAAAACAGGAAACTACAAATGACAGTACACACTAAAATCACTGACACCCACAACTATCTACACTTTAATTCTTCCCACCCTAAACACCTCAAAGAGAACCTTCCCTATTCACAAGCACTTAGACTCAGAAAAATATGTTCCAACAATGAAGAATTAAATAAACACACTGAAAATCTGGAGCATCAATTCACAACACGTGGCTATAAACAACACCTAATCAAGGAACAAATAAATAAAGCAATTTCCACACCTAGAGAAGACACCCTAATGTACAAGATTAAAAATAAATCTAGCCGCATTTCTCTAGTAACCACTTTCAACCCCACTCTGCCTCCACTATCCCAAATAATCAAACGTCGCTGGGAAATACTACATCTCAAACCAGACCTAAAAAAATTTGTTTAAGGAACCTGGCCTTCTAGCATATCGTAGAACCTAAAAGAAATCATAGGTAGTAACCCCATTTCAGGGGACAAGGTAATCCGTAATAAACTAAGAACAAAACCAACAGGATTTTCCCAACCATGTAACAACAAAATAAGTTTATGCTGCAACCATAAACACACAAATTCATTCACTAGCTCAGTCACTAAATCTACTTTCAAAATCTACCATGATTCTAACTGTAGAAGTCATAACATAATTTACCTCCTAGAATGCACACTATGCCAGAAACAATATGTAGGAAAATCTGAATGTCACTACAGAATTAATAATTATCGCAATCGAATTAAGTCGACTCCCCATGAAAAATTATTACCTGTAGAACAACATTTCCGCCTATATAAAAACACGATTTCAAAACCCATGCCAAATTCACTATAATTGAGAGAATAGAAAAGTTCAGAGCAGATAACATTAGAAAGATTTTTTAGAGTTCCATGAAAATAAGTGGATACAACGTCTAAAAAACACTATCCAGCTGGGCTAAACCATAAATTTAACAATATAGATAGTACTAATATATAAACAGTACAAATCAAAAACCTACCCACATTTCTCACCCACACAAGACAGACATGCTTACGGAGGTGTTGAGGCCACACATATATACACACACCCACACGAATATACACATTTACACACATCATACTCACTCACTCCCTAATGAGCCAAATGATAACACCCACCCACAGCAATATACACTCTTACACATATCATACTCATTCACTCCCTAAGAACCAAATAACACACACACAAACTTAAACAGAGACACATCCCCTCTCCAGGACCAATAAAACTGTCAAACTGACCAGGGAATTCAGAGCAGCATAGATCCATCCAGCTCTTATCTCAAATAACAACTTAAAAGAGACTGTTTGACCAACACAAGGAAAGTTAAAAAGATTCATGTTAAAAAGATAAAAAAAATGAAAAAGCAAATGAAAACTACAGACAAAAGTTCATTTTCTCCATCAAGACATTCATTTCTGTAGTTCACTGCTGCCAGCAAGCAGAAATATTTCTTCTCCTGATGATGGCCATTTTGGCCGAAACTAGTTGAGGAATCTAAATGAAATAATAAAAAAACAAAACAAAAGAATATTAATCTACAACCCAGTGTGTCTGAAGATTTTAATTTTTTAATATTTTTTATTGTTCAAAATACATATATATATATATATATATATATATATATATATATATATGCATGTATGTATTTTTTAAAAAGAGAAAACACTGCAAACGTTTTTGGTTATAATGTGGATATATTTTGTACATTATATTTTATTTTCTATATTTTTCATACACATGTTTTGGATCTTGTGACCATCAGGTGAAGAATGGTTATTTTCACATATTTAAAGGAATTAATTTTTTTATATTGATTTTTTTTTAACTATTATCTTTTGAGTGTAGTAGTAATCCAAAATCATCTTGGACTGGTGGAAGAGTGTTCCTTTGCTTAAGGGATAATAAAACCATTAGGATTGGTCAGTGAAAGGGGAAGGGATGAGGTTTTTGTTCTTAACTTTTAATGTCCTGTGAATCATTTTAGACTTTCTTCCATTTTTGTGTATTATGTGCATGTGTTTTTGCTAGTGTGTGTATATAAATTCCTTCTCCATATATATATATTGTTTTATTACAAGGAAATAGTGTACACACACACACACACACACACACACACACACACACACTTTGTCTAGTGTGTGTATATATATTCCTTCACCATACATATATATTGTTTTATTACAAGGAAATAGTGTACACACACACACACTTTGTCTAGTGTGTTGGGTTTGTGTGTGTGTGATCTGTCTAGTGTGTTTGTTTTTGCCAGTATGTCTGTATATATTCATTCTCCATATATATTATGAAGAAATCTGTACAGTAACCTTTTTATATGGTGTGTGTGTGTGTGTGTGTGTGTGTGTGTGTGTGTGTGTGTGGTCTGTCTGGTGGGTTTTTCTACTATGTGTATATGGTATTTGTTTATGTGTGTGAGGTTATGATTTGTTTAGTGCTGGTTTAAATATGTCTATGAAGTTCTTTTCTTGTATTTGTAGGTAAGAGTAATTGTCTGTTATATTGGCATAATTGTAAATTTACCTTTGTTGCATTTGTGGATGTGTTGTAGCACAAAGAGTTGTCTGGTAATTTAATGTTGCTTTTGTGTAGGAAAATTCTGTTGTTTAGTGCTTGAGTTATACCTATGTAGTATTTGTTGTACTTTGTGCATCTGAGTGTGTAAATCAAATTTTGGAGTTACAGTTTAAATTTTTCTTTATTGTGAATGTTGTGAAGTTTTCAAAAATGTAGAAGTGTCCTTCTAAAATGATATCACAACCCCCACATCTTTTCTTGTTGCATCTTTTAACATCTTGTATTGTGTATTGACTAAATTTGGATGAGGTTAATATGCATTTTAGGCTTTTTGATATATATATATATATATATATATATATATATATATATATTTTGGTGTTTTAAACAATAAAAAATATTGAAAAATTAAATTTTTCAGACACATTGGTTTGTATATTAATATTTTTTTGTTTTATTATTTCAATTAGGTTCCTTGACTAGTTTCAGCCAGCATAGCCATCATCAAGAAGAAAAAGAAAAATTCCTCCTTGCAGTGAACTACAGGAATGAATGACTTTCTGAAGAAAATGAACTTTATCTGTAGTTTTCATTTTTTTTTATCGTTAATTTTGGTCAGTCCTTTCAAACAGCCTCTTTTATGTTGTTTTTAAGATAGAGGCTGGATAGATTCGTATAACTCTGAATTCCCTTAGGTCATTTTGACAGTTTTATTGTTTCATGGGAAGGGAATGTATTTGTCTTAAGTGTATGTTATTTTTTAGTTATTCAGGAATGTGTATGATGTGTGTAAGTGTATATATTCGTATGGTTGTGTGTATAAGTGTGAGACCTCAACACCTCTGCAAGCATGTCTGTCTTGAGTGGGTGAGAAATGTGGGTAGGTTTGATTTATGGGGTTATATATTAATTCTATCTATGATTGTTAATCAATTTGTGATTAAGCCCGTCTGAACAAAGTGTTTTCAGGAACAAAATCCATTTGTCTT